CCAAGCAACTTGGAAGACAGCTATTTGGCCAACTCACTGGAAGAGATCCATATTTGTGCCCATTCCAAAGAGGGGTGACCCTCTAAAATGCTCAAGTTATAAAACATCATCATCGATATCACATGCAAGTAAAATAATCATTTAACAACAGTTGCAGCAGGACATTGACAGGGAGCTGCCAGAAGTTCAGGTTGGATTTAGAAGAGGGTATGGAATAAGAGCTACCATTGCTGACATCAGCTGGATCTTGGCTGAAAGCGGAGAATACCAGAAAGATGTTTCCTTGTGTTGTATTGACTATGCCAAGGCATTCGACTGTGTTGACCATAACAAACTATGGATAGCCTTGAGAAGAACAGGAAGTCCAGAACACTTTATTGTACAGATACAGAACCTGTACGTGGGTCAAGAGGGAGTTGTTTAAACAGAACAAGGGAATAGTTCATTGTTTAAAATCAGGAAAGGTGTGCATCAGGGTTGTTGTATCCTCTCACCATATTTCTTCAACCTGTATACTGTGCAAACAATCAGAGAAACTGGATTATACGAAGAATGTAGCACCAGGACTGGAGGAAGGCTTATTAAACTACCTGTGATATGCAGATGAACACAGCTTATTTTCTGAAACTGAGGATGTGAAGCACTTGCTGATGAAGATCAAGGATTGCAACCGTCAGTATGGTTTACAACTCAATGTAAAGAAGACCAAAATCCTTACAACTGGACCAATAGGTAACATCATGATAAATAGAAAACAAACATTGAAGTTATCAAGAATTTTATCTTGCTTGGATCCACAATCAATGATCATGAAAGCAACAGTCAAAAGATGAAATGAATGGGAAAATCCACAGCACAAGACCTCTTTAAAGTGTTGTAAACCAATGATGTTACTTTGAGAACCAAGGTGCGTCCATCTTAAACCATGGTATTTTCAATTGTCTCAGATGCATTTTAAAGTTGGAGAGGAATAGGAAAGATGCATTGATGTATTTGAACTATGTTGTTGGTGAAGAATATGGAAACTACCAAGGAGTGCCAAAAGAATAAACCAATCTTTCTTGGAAGAACAACAGCCAGAATGATCCTTCGAGGCAAGGATGGCTTGATAATGCCTCAAACACTTTGGGCATGTTATCAGGAAAGACTAGTCCACGGAGAAGGACATCATACTTGATAAAATGGAGTAGAAGCGGAAAAAAGGAAAGGCCTCAATGAGATGGACTGAGAATGGCACTCGTCCGGGGCTGTTCTGTTCCGTTGTAAGGAGGTCACTAGGAGTCAGAACCAACTTCACTGTACCTGACCCCAACAACACTCCC